GTGTGTGTGTGTGTGTGTGTGTGTGTGTGTGTGTGTGTGTGTGTGTGCGTGTAGGCTTGTGTGTATTGTGATGGCTTGTTTGCAATGTCCATGGTAAAACAATATAATGTCTACAACATGAACTTCGTGGATAAAAACTGCGGAAGCTTAAAATATTCTCAAAGTACCTCTAAATCCCATTTTTGGATTTTCTTGCTGGGAGGCACTGTCGCCTCTCAGCAAGAAGGTTCTGGGTTCGAGTCCCAGGGGACCCAGGAAATTTCTGGGTGGAGTTTGCATGTTCTGCATGTGTGTGACCCTGCGATGGACTGGTGGACTGTCCAGGGTGTACCCTGCCTCTCGGCCATTGACCACTGGGATAGGCTCCAGTTCTCCCCGCGACCCCATCAGGGAATAAGCGGTAATGATGATGGATGGATGGATGGATTTTCTATAAATGAGGCTTACATTCCAGCCCCTGATTGTTACTTCCAAAACTTTACACATTATTTATTTGAAAAAACATTTTTTTTTACAATGTCTATATTTCAAATAGTATCACTTAATCAATTTTGTTTTCTATGATCATTAACATTGAGATTTGAGTCTTTATTTATGAAAGCAATAAAGTCTCAGTCTTTTGTGAAATAATGTGATTTTTTTAAAAGTAAATCCTTTCACGTTTTGATATAATTCCAAGTTGGGTCACAAGAGAGAGGTGCTGGAGCCTATGCCAGATGTTAGTGGGCAGGGGGCTGGTTACTGTCTGGACGGATCATGATTCGATCATATGGCTGTTAATCTTACATTCATGTTTTTTTAACCCCAAATACACAGGGACAACATGCAACGTCGCAGTAAGAAAACACTCTGTAACCCTTTTAAACAGTTAATAGGATTTTCATCTGTATGATTTGATGGGCATCCAAATACTTTCAGTCTTAAGCTGTTAAGAGATAACAGTTTGGAATTTTAATTGCGACCCATTCAAGACTGGCAGCAAGACCCTAAATTAATTAAGTAATGTCAGTAAATGCATTACTGCTGAGGGTTTTTTTGTGATTGTCTGTTGTTTAAAGATTTTTGTTCTCATCTCCCATTCTGTCTCCATGACAGATTTGAAGATTTTTGAATTGGCTCAAGGGTTCACTCACTGTACAGGCAAGCCACAGCCAACTTCACTGAGGAAGAGGACCAGCAGTGAGGCTTGGAGACTCCTCCATCACATTCCACCCAGTCTCATCTATTCCACTCAACCTTCAGCATCATGTCTATCCCGAGCAGCAGCCCAGAAAGAGAAAACTCCAGTGGCACCCAGCTTGAGTTCCCCTCTACTCCTCCTTTAATGGACCCAGACCCTCTTTCAACAGGCAGCCCAGTGCTCAGTCCAGACTCTTCCTCCCATGATACAGCACTGTCAGCACCAGCACACTCCCCAGCAGACTCTGAGAATCTAAATCCTGAGGAACTTGAGCTGCTGGCCAAACTTGAGGAGCAGAACAGGTAACTGAAACTGAACACTGACCATTGAAAAATCAAGAAATGCCATGCAAAACAAAAGCAATAACTTATTGCTCTTAAAATACAATAGAGTTGATCGAATCTTAATTAACAGTATTTTAGTCAAACATCTGATCTGCCAGACTACAAAACACCAACTAAGCTATACTTTCACAACATTCAGGATGGCAATGGGGAACAAGTGCCCCGAGCCTAAACTACCTAAATGGCTCCGGGCAGCTTTGTGTATGTGATAGGAGGTGAGTGAGGATGGAACAAAGTCACGTCACACGAATTTTCAAGATACTGGCCGAGAGAAGCTGCATGTAAACAGTGGTTGAAACTAAAACCAAATTGGTTATGCCATTAAATTTAATGATGAGTCATAATATTTTACGTTTTCTTGAAAATATTGCTGTGTCATTGGATCGTATCTAATAACACTTTCCAATGGCTTTTAATCAGGCTGACTCAAAGGGAGCAGAATTAATTGCCATACAGCCTCATTTCCACAAAAATATATTAAAGAAATGTAGCTTGATCTTGTATACGAACACCTTTTGATGTTATTGGGAATTTAACACTGTAACCCTCATGTGAGAGTTCATCCAGCTGCCTATGATATCCTCATGTTTGAGAGAACCAACCCTGAGGCTTCCTGTGTGGCTGCCAGGTTGTCAAAGTGTGTCCCAATGTCACATCTGTCTCATGTGACTCTTGGTGCTTTTCCAGCTTACCTTTCACAAACCTCAGATACTGTCTGCATATAGGTTGCTGGAGGCTGATTCCAAGTCAATGCGATCAATGAGTGGCTCAAGACGCAACAGTGGTTCCTCACTTGTGTCCAGCTCCTCAGCCTCCTCAAACCTATCACACTTGGAGGAAGATACCTGGATTTTATGGGGCCGCATTGTCAATGAGTGGGATGAGTGGAGACGCAAGAAGGACAAGCTTCTAAAGGTGTGTTTTTGTCACTGTGTGCATAGCCATAGCTACGTTAATGAAACCAACTGCGTATCTTCTTGCACTGTTTGTTCAATAGTTTAACAGTATTTTTTACTTCCATAGTAATTGTCTCAGTTTGTCCTTTCCATTCCTGTGTGTCCTCTGCCATGAAAACACATGGGGAAACGATGATGGATGTGACAGCTAAAATGAGTCAGGACTAAATGAGAGAAGATAAACTCAATAAAAATACTCTGACTGTCTACAAAGTCTGCAATGCAATAAAATAAGAGTTAAGAGATCCTGGTGCCATTTTTTTCTTCTCTTATGTCAAATAAGCTTCAGCACCTTAACTTTGCATCTCTGTTGCTTTAAAACAAAGTCAACCCATCTTTAACCATTTAATGCTGATTCAAGAAAAAATAGAGAAAATAAAAATGTATTGTGTTGGAAGTCTTTATTTGGATCTTTAACAAAATATTTAAAAAAAATTACAGAAACATTTATTGCACATTCAGAATTTATTTCCATGTGATAAACAAAAATTATTGTTTTTTTAGTTGTCATGAAAATGTTGTCATGAAAATATGATAGTGTACAACGGGCTTTTGAGCAAAGTTTTTATCATAAAATCATGCAAAAGGTCTCTAATGCAAAATATTTCAGAAACTGTATAAAAAAATGATACATATGGCAATATAGGGTTAATGTCTATATCTCTTTTCCCTAGGAGTTGATCCGGAAGGGTATCCCCCATCATTTTCGTGCCATTGTTTGGCAACTGTTAGGCAATGCTACTGACATGCCAGTTAAGAATCAGTACTCTGAGCTGCTGAAAATGTCATCTCCTTGTGAGAAGCTCATTCGCAGAGACATTGCCCGCACATACCCCGAGCACGAGTTTTTCAAGGGACAGGACAGCTTGGGGCAGGAAGTCCTCTTCAACGTCATGAAGGTGAGTGCTTGCAAATGAAAGATTAAGTTTATATTATTATTAATGTATTCAAGCGTGGTTTCAGGCCTGAAGCTAGTCATTTTAAAATCCCTAGACGGGGGAAATGGAACATTTAGATTAGCTGGTAATGTGGGGAAAAATAAACTTTCTGGTAACAAAGCAAAGGATTTGTAAAGAAAAATGTGCTGTTCTTTGTTAAATGATTACACGCCCCACAATTCAAGTTTAAGTCAATTAAAATGTATATGCATAGCACATTTCATGTACAAAACAATTCAAACATGCTTGAAATGAAAAAAAAGTAAAAACTAATTAAATAAACTAGACAGATTTAAATGTTTAATAAACAAGCAACGTTCCAGACAAGATATAAGATACTCTGCAAATTGTATATGTACATACATGAAAGTAATGTTTTTAAAATGGATTTAAAAATGTCAACATTTGTTGAAAGTTTCATCTTCACTTCACTGGACACTGTTTCACGTTTTATCCAGCATAACAGTTTAATGCGGCATCTCCGTTTTTAGTCTGGACTCTAATCTGGACAAACTGACTTGAGTCCGCAGATCTGAGAGCTTTGTTAGGTTTTAATTATCTGAGCATATCACAGTTGTAGTCTGGGCGTAAACCTTTCTGTGATTTGTAAACCAAATCAGTAGGCTTTTTTTTATCTATTCTGTGGAAGTCAGTGTAAAAATTTCTAAACTTATGTGATGTGTTCAGATCTTTCAGTCATGGTTAAAACTCTAGCAGAAGAGTGTGGACAGAGTAAGAAAGAGAACACAAATACAACGAAACATAGTAAAGAAAACCTGGGGACTCGGAGCAAGCAGAGTGGTTCATTATACCCAGGAAACCAGGAGCGACATAGAGCACTGAAGGTGGTCAGCCACCCACGGGGACACCACACATCCACCCAGATGATTTTACATGAGGCCCAGGGCAAAGCTCCTGCAGTCGTTGAGCAAAGCTCCCAAGGAACCCAGAGTGACAAGCAACCAGCCCCGCTAGGCTCAGGCCATCCAAGCATGGGCCAGGCGTGGAACCCAGGGCCTTAATGCCTGAGCACCCCCAGACCCCAGTAGAGAACCCACCCAATACACGAGAGGAACGGGCTAGCACGCACCCCAATGCCCCCAATGAAGTACCCCAGAGTATAATCTTGCTGTAGGTCAGTGCAGTAATAAGCAGTATAGAGAGGCTGAGGCCCTGACCCAGCTGGGGCGGGACACACATACATTAGGCTTGTCCAGATCCGATATTTTTATTGGATCTGCCGCCGATATTTGCAAAAAAAATGCTTATCGGCCGGCATGACAAAGAGCTGATCCAGACTCCCAATCCCATTTTTTTTAAGTCCGATCCCACACGAGCATTAGAATCTCCTAACCCACAGATCTGTGTCCTAACCATTAACTTGTTATAAGAGTAAATCCCTGTTCAACATGAGTCTGACAACTAAGTAAGTTGGCTAAATGACTTTAAACTTTAATACATTCTCTGATAGGCCAGTATCGGTATTGGCCGGTATCGGATCGTATATATATATATAGATATAGATATAGATATAGATATATATATATAGAGAGAGATAGATATAAATATAGAGGGAATATGAAAGTATTGAAAGTAGAAAATGAAAAAAAGAGCCTAAAATCGTGTTGACGACTTGGCTGAAGGAATGAGTTTAACAAGAAGCACCCCCCCGGCTCAGTCTCTCAATTAATGTATTCCTCTTATGTTTGGACTTGCTTGCTTAAAGACTATTTAAACTCCACACATTCTTTGCCATTCATTCTCCTCTTATCTCCTATCCATCTTTTGTTTATTGCCGGTTGGCACATAATGCCAGGAGTACCATAAATTAATATTATAAATGATTTAGTCATTCATATCTATATATATATGCTTTTCACGAAATTAAAGGGACACATTTTAGATCTAAACATTCTCATCGAAAAATGTGGAATTGATTTAGAAGAATATAACACCTCTTGGGAAACTCTGGCTGTGCGAAGGCTTTGCAAAGAAATGCCTCCCAACACCATGACTGACCCACCACCAAACTAGTCATGTGGGAGGATATTGCAGGCACTATAACGTTTTCCACGGAGATTTTATCCATGAAGAGCACAGGGCAAATGCCTGTCATCCTGCGCGGTGTTGGGCTGTAAGCACTATACGTGGATTTTGGGCCCTCATACAACCCTCGTGGAGTCTGTTTCTGACAGGTTGAGTAGAAACATGTACATTAGCGACCTGCTGGAGGTAATTTTGTAGGGCCCTGGCATTGGACCTCCTGTTCCTCTTTGCACAAAGGACAAGGTAGCAGCCCTGCTGCTGGTTGACAACCCTCCATGTCTCCTGGTGTATAGGCCTATCTCCTGGTACTTATTTCCATTCTCTGGACACTGTGCTGAGACACAGAAAATCTTCTTGACAATGCTCACATTGATGTTCCGTCTTGGATTAGCTGCACTACTTGAGCAACTTTAAGATGTAAAAAAAAAGAAAAGCCTAATGATGACTCTATGCATGACAGGACTGACAAAATGGAAAAGAGACTAAAAGTTCAGCCAAAAAGGACGGACAGAGAAATGATCTGTGGGTAGCACCTGCAGAATCACTATTTTGTTGGTTATGTGGATATGTAAAGAACTCTCTGAACTTGTTTATCCCATTAATTGTTCAGTGCGAAACAAAGCAAATGTAATGTGTAAATGGTTCTGCATTTGCCAGGCATACTCTCTAGTGGACCGTGAAGTGGGCTACTGCCAAGGCAGCGCTTTCATTGTTGGCTTGCTCCTAATGCAGGTAACTGTCAAATTTCCCACCCTCGCTAGTTTTTTGTTCATAAAACAGATAAACTGAGCCCATCTGCAGTCTGAGCTTTCGTCAAGATAGCTTTTTGTCAATTTGATACTAACTGTAATGCTGTATTTGCATTGTAAGTCCCTTTGGATAAAAGCATTTGTTAATTCATAAAGATAAACATAACATAAACATCTGTAATTTGTCCCACTATATTGATTTGAGTTTAGTGTTGTGTTTTTTTTTGGTTTTCTTTCAATTACTGGAGCCATTGTGTTAGAAATGTTCAGCATTAGCATCCTCACTAACATTTTTGTTCCTTTTTTCAGATGCCAGAAGAGGAAGCATTTTGTGTTTTTGTGCGACTAATGCAAGAGTACCGCCTGAGGGAACTGTTCAAACCTAGCATGGCAGAACTTGGCCTATGCATCTACCAATTTGAATATCTGCTCCAGGTAAAAAGGAAACATACCATTTCTAGCAACTTGAATTTTGACTTCTCGCGACCCCATTAGCGACTAAGCGATGCGGTAATGGATGGATGGATGGATGGATGAATTTTAACTTTTGTCCACAAGAGAGCAGCAGAACAATATTTTGCATTCCTTTCAGCATGTCCTTTTCTATTACATCTCTTTGGACTGTTATTTGTCATTTGTTTCCTTAAATTGTGCCAATCTGTTTCCTTAGGAGCAGCTTCCTGAGCTGAATGTCCATTTTCGCTCTCAGAGTTTCCACACGTCTATGTATGCCTCATCCTGGTTTCTCACCCTATTTCTTACCTTCCTCCCACTCCCTGTTGCAACACGAATCTTTGATATTTTCATGTATGAGGTGGGAACATTTTATGAATCTATTGACGTGATTGGCATGCATGATATGGATTTACAAATGTTAAGATATACAAATGTTTAACATTTTTCCTTTGTATTATTGACCTTTCTTCAGGGTCTAGAGATTATCTTCCGTGTGGGCCTGGCTATCCTGTTGTACAACCAGACTGACCTCATTCAGCTGGACATGGAGGGCATGTCACAGGTAAAGGTCTACAACCGTGTGTTACTTTTTGTAAAAATTTGTGTCATGTACAGATTCAGTCACAAAGTAATTTATCCCTTTGCATCTAAGCTTCTTGAAAAGAATTTAAACTCCTTTCAGTTGGGCTCATTTGTCACGGCCCGGCTGTTGACTGACAAAGATAGGACACCAGACAGTAGAGTCAGGTTATCTTCAGCATTTATTTATAAACTCAAAAGTATTAACATAAGAAAATGTTTTTAAATGTCAGTGATCAAAGGGGTATTGCTCAAAACCAGGATAAGGGATTAAGCCGGGATATGTTGGTTATCGTAGTTTAAATTTATCCTCAAGTCGGTTGCATGAAAGCAGCTCAAACTTAACCCAGCCCAGTTATTACAGTGAACTATTCTCTGCTGCTAGCCTGCTCCAATTGAGGCTAAGAGCCAGGCTAAGTCCTTTTGAGATGAATATGTTATTGAGAGATACAGATTGTCTGTTGGTGGACTAAGATATTTATGTAGGCTTCAGGGTTCACAAACACAACACCAGAAAGTGCAAATCCATGCTCTTACTGTACCACAGGTAGTCTGTGTTACACTGAGATGGTTAGCAAGGGGGATCTTTGTTTATTCTGCTGGGGATGCAGAGAACCTCAATAAAATAACCATTTGCTGCACAATAAGACATGTTTGTCTGGCACTGAAGCAGATCAATTTTTTGCATCCTTCTCCTTTGGAGCAATTTTCACGTCTGCCAACACTATCAATCTCTCCAGGTGCTTTACATACAAGGTTTGGACAGTTTGTGAAGTCTGTAAAAGAAATGTCAATTAGCACAGCAGGATTTGTGCACAATGTAGATTTATTTTGGTCGATGCTCACAATGTTACCAGGCTGCTTAGGAGACTGCACAGCATCTGGGCCCTGTTACACATTTTCTGTAAGCACCACACCATTGACTTCATATCATATGTGGATTAAATAAGCAGGATATTTTCATAATCTTGACAAACCTCAGCCCTTCTGGAGTCCACTAACACTGTCTCCTCATCTGCAGATGTGGATTTTGTTGCTGTAGATTTGCCTGCCCCCTCCCACATACATACATGTATTGAGAAAACTTGATTCAAGATTTACAGGACATACCAAGGCTTTGATTTCAATTAAAGTACTAACCATCTTCTAGTGGCTCCCAAAGCTGGAGCGTTATCCCAGACACTGCAAGGAAATGAAAAGTCAGATGGTATATTATAGTTAGTTTTTCCATGTGAGGTATCACTAAAATATGTACCTTGTATGAAGTGTACAGTTTCTTCGGCTAGGACAGGATCAGTTATTGTTCCTCCCTAGATCCCATCCATTGTTAGCCTCCCTTTATTTAAATGGCGGGACAGCTCCTCTGCTGCGGTCATCTCCTGGCTTTGTAAGATGCCCTCTGTGTCAGTTCTATAAGGCATTTTTTTAATTCAGGATTTTTCCAGGATTGTTCACTTATCCTGGATATCCTTATTTTAGTTTTGTGCAATACCCCTTAGTAGTATAAGTATATGTGTGACGGTGTGTCAAACAAACAAAGCAAAAGCAGTGGCTACAGCAGCAATGGCAAGAGAGTGAACGGCAGGATGAAGAGCCTTATATAGGCCCCAGACCAGCCCAGGTGTCTTATCAAGTTAATGACTCTCCCACAATCTGGCACCTGAAAGAGACAGTAAAAAGCAGAGTTCTCTTTTCTCTAAACATTGATGCCAACTCCTCAGTAAGAAAAGTAGCTATTAGCTGTCCTAAAAGTTGCTAGAAGTCGCTATATGATGTCAGAGGAATTTCGAAATTGGCAAGATGAAGAGTAAAAAGCACTGAATATACCAATTTACTTTACTTACTTTACACTACATAAACTAATTTAGTTAAAATATCAAATTTGATTAAAAGGCAGTTATGAGTTGTGGAATCTACACTCCGTCACCACCCCCATAGACTGTGACAGACTGCAAAACATGGCGAGCATCTAACCAGGAATGAAAAGATTGAGAGTTTACATAGAGGGGATTGTGATTATTGAATGAAGAGAAGGTGACACAGGGAACACAGGGTTGAGCAGAGTTGAGTTGATAACGTGGAACAGCACAGGAAAGAACTGAAGGAAATGAAGTTGGAGGTGATGCAGAAGAAGAACACAGAAACTTAAGAAAGACGCCAGAATAAAACAGATAACCAAGGCACAGGGAAACGAAACACACGAAAAACAAAAACAAAACCAGTCCAAAATTCTGAACAAAAGCAATTACTCTCTGAAATTTTAGTGTTTATTTTCCCTACTAAAAATTAAATCAGGTTATCCCCTGGTTAGCATTTTAATTTTTCAGACTGAGCCAACTTTGACGATAATAATAGTCCAGTCGTATAAACATAGAGCTGGGGCCATGGCCGTAGGTAAAGGGTTTGAGTGTATCTGCTTGCTTCTCTATGAAATATTAATGAACATCTTTGTCACATGGTTTATTTCCTCTGGGTCTGCCAGCACTTTCAGAAGGTGATTCCTCACCAGTTTGACTGTTGCCCAGACAAGCTGATCCTCAGGGCCTACCAGGTCAAATACAACCCCAAGAGGATGAAAAAGTAAGACTGTTCATTACACCGCTAACCACTGGTAGGACTATAAGATGAAAAGGCTTCATATAAGACTTCAACTTGCATTCTCACATCTGTTGATGAGGGAAGGATGATTTTTTTGTGCTTTTTGAGATGAGAAAGTCATTTCCCTTTTAATAAGCGTCATCATTTGAACAAAGCCTTTGAATAAAAGTAGTAACAAGATTAATGATTTTTTAAACTATTTATTTTAGAGGAAAAATTTAGTTTGCCATGTCCTTTCTCCAGACTTGAAAAAGAATACACCACAATCAAGAACAAAGAAATGGAAGAACAAATTGAAATTAAGGTGTGTTTATTTATTTTTATTGAGATGATTGATGAGATATGATAAAAAGCTTAATCAGTACTTTTATTCTCTAACTTCTCAGAGATTACGCACAGAAAACCGATTGCTAAAGCAGAGAATTGAGACTCTTGAGAAGGTAAGAGAATGGCCTCCCATCTCATTTAATGCTATTTGATAAGCAGCATCGCTGACACCAAGTAGCTAGATTAGTCTGGGAGTTAAATTTAGTTTAAAACTGCAGTGATTTAGGAATTAATCTTCCTTTTACTCACCTGTTGTGCTTGTTCATGCTTATGTGTTTGTGGATGTTGATGCTTTTTCCAGCACTCTGCTGTAAAAGTCTTGTGTGAGAAATCTTTTTACTTAGTATTTATCAATGCTGCTTCTTCTGTTAAGACATGCCATCTTTCCCCAAAGTTAGTACCTTAAACCTTTTATATCATTTCTATTTTTCCCTTTACTGCTACTTGAGCTTTCCAAGCCTCTTTGGTTTCCCACTGTTTTTCACTTTCTTCATCACTTATTATCATCCTCTTGTTCCTCTCCTCGGTTGTGCTGTAGGAGAGTGCTGCTTTGGCAGACAGATTGATACAGGTAGAGTACTGAAAACCACTTTCCTACTACTACTTCTAACCTCTACCCTACTCACACTTGCCCTGTTCTCCTGTACTGCATCTCTCCCCATTTTTACCCATAACCTGGAAAATATGCATGAAAATGTGTTCTTGTTGTTATCATATTCAGTCTACAGGACCATTGTGTTAACTCGGAATGCACATGGTCATGATTATATGAGGTTTCTCAATCATTTCATGTGGCATGTCAAAGTTTGTCATTAATACTACAGTTAATGTGTTTGGTTAAACAAAAACAAATATTGATTCAAGTATGTGTGTGCATGTGTGGTTTTGTTGAAAGGATTCCTTGGAAATGAAATCAGTGAATTCAGTTAATTAATTTTATGTTAACAAGCATATAGACATACATCTTATATCAGGGGTGGGCAACTTCTTGCCTTGAGGGCCGCTGTCCTGTGGGTTTTAGAGGTTTCCCTGCTTCTACACACCTCATTCAGATAAAACTGGATCTCTTCAAATTCTTGAGAAAATGAACGTATGGTTGGGACATAAGTAAAAAAAAAAAAAGAATGTTGGAAGAAGCAGTTCAGATGAAGGACTCCCTGAAGTCTGAAGGAAGATTGTTAGAGAGGAATTTAAAGCAGTTCTTCAATTTAAAGAAGATGACAACATTCAGATCTTTCTGATTGCATTACCAAGAGAGTTTAAAAATAATATTGGAGATATTTCTCTTTCAAAAACACTTTGATGAAAGTGTATTGATCACTTGTAAAACAGAAGAAAAGAAAATCAAAGTTTTGAATATTAAAATATATTTGTCAAAAGCTGTGTGAAGAAAAAAGGTTTTTAGGAAAAAAGAAATTAATATGTGTGGTGATACAGGAATACTTGTAAATGAAGAACTAGAAAGAAATTTAAAAGGACATTCAGGATGTGGCGGTGAGTAAGATTAAAGAGTAAAGATTAAAAGATTGTTGAAAACGATAAATGGATAAATAGTGATAGTCTATCAATGATGATAACATTTTAAGAAAATGTACTTACAGAGAGGGTTAAAATAGGGTTCATAAGCTTTCTATTTCGACCCTATATCCCTCCCCCACTCAGGTGTTCAAAATATCATAGATATGGACACATTGCCGCAGTGTGGAATATAAAGGTGTCCCCCCCATGTGGGTTGATCATAGATATGAAAAATGTGAAAAGATGTTCAGAATAAATGTTTTGATTAGGGGATAGGGAGAGGGACTTTTAGCAGATGTGTGATTAGAAAGAAACCCATTGAAGTGGAGAAAATGAAGACTGTCAACAATATCAGCTATGCTAAGGACAGATTGGAGGGAAGGAGATAAATACAAAAAACACAGATTAATAAAGTATGGTCAATGATAAGAAAAATGACTGGGATTAAAAGAGAATACGGTTATCCATTTTCAAGTGATGGTCAAATTACAAAAGTAAAGGATGAAGAAAGGTTGAACTGATGGAAAAAACTTTATTATTACACATAGATACTTTGTAAGAGAAATGATGATATAATATAAATAAATGATGATGGATAGAAATCTGAACAGATGGAAACTGTAAACTGTTTATTGAATGTTTCTTTTACTAAATCAGAATTAAATCGAAGTATTTAGAAATTTAGATTAACACAAGGAAAATGTAAAATTTGTTATTTAATGATGATCAGTCATCTACAGACATTTTAATGGAACTTTCTAATAAAGTCTGCAAGAATAGAAAATTAACAAAAAGTTGCAAAGAAGCAGTAATAATACCAAAGTTCTCTACTACTGTATTTTTTTGTTTCGCTTTATTCTTACATTGCCAACATTCTAAGATCAGAACCCTTGTTTCCTTTTGGCATGCTAACACAGGGCCAGGTGACAAGAGCACAGGAAGCAGAAGAAAACTATGTGATCAAGCGAGAGCTGGCAGTGGTGAGGCAGCAGTACAACACAGTCAATGAGAACCTTGAGAAAGCCCAGGACACCATCACAGAACTGCAGCAGCACCGGGTAAATATATTAACAGAAATGGCAAAGTTTTTGTTGTGCTGAGCTTAAGTAACCGTGTCAGCTACCACTTCACATAGTTTTCAGAAGAACTGGATTGTAATTGATCTTTTTCGTTTTATTAACTGAGAGAGCCAGAGGCAATTAATCAATGGAATTGGAATAAATATTGTAATGCTCAAAATGCAATGGCTGTTAAATGGAGAACCCTCATGTTGACCTGCAGGATGTTGGAATGTTTTTGTCATTTTACCATTTGAAGGACTTGTTGTTTTAAGTATGTTTTTATTTATTTATTGATTTTGATTAAATTATATGAAAACTTAAGGTTACTAGTGTAACCACTGTTCTCTTAAAACTGAATGAGGTAATTCAGTATGGGAAGTGCCCTCTGGTTTGACCAGTCACAGAAACTACATTACCACAGTCTGTCAAAAGCAGATCAATTAACATGTCTGGCAATGGGGCCCCCTACTCAACTTTATCAGGCCCTGTAGTCCCATGTCTGACATTCTCAAGTGTATTTATTCCCTGTGCCTGTGCATAAAGGGCATTGTGGTGAGATGCCTAACTCAATTTTTAGAGAGCCAGAACAGACTGGTAACCTAACGTCCTCTGTGAAACTTCACTTGGTATTTCATGATGTGGAGCGTGTCAGCATCACCAGCCCACCCCCAGGGGCTGGTGTGGAGCTAAAGGTTCACACAAAGGACTGAGTGGAATATTCACACAGATTTTCAAGGAGCTTCATGCCTTTGCATCCATATCACTGCCAATTGTCTCCACCACGCAGCACGAGTGACACGAGTCACTGGCTAGAAAAAAAGAGACCCTGCCTTGTGATCATTTGCCAAGGACAAAAAGAGCTGGATACCTCCAAATTTCTTAATGGGTAAAGCTTGTACAAGACAAGGTTGATTCAACCATTTCTCCCTCTCATAATCAAACAGTGGAAGATGAAATGCCTGGAACTTCACTGACAGGCACCAATAAGGAGATTCCTAAACTCTGAGCTCTGAACTCTGTCATGCCTGGAAAGGCCACAAAAGGAATTTAACCCAAATGCGAGATTCACTCATAATAAAGAAATGTGTTGTGACACATGATTTCTTTGGGTGCGGAACGCATGGTAGAACTGTTTAATTGGAGAATAGACACACTAAATCCAAGGTGAGCAAGGTATGATATTACAGTAGCTGGGTTAAGTTAAATTCTGAGGAAGGGAGTGTACAGAAGCTGTGAATCTGAAGTAGGCGGATAGGCAGGCAGGCAAAGGACTATGCCCTCTTCAGTGAGTCAGAAGTTTTTTTTCTGAAAGAAACCCAAATCTGGAACCAGTAAAGTGAATTCCCGAAGTGGAAGAGCTTGGGAGGAGGATGTCGGGAACAAAAAGGAAGTAGATAAGTGGAAGAAAATCTCAGCTTTGAAAAACTTAGGATGGCCCGATTAACGCAAACATGGTTTTACAATCTGTCGAAAACTTTTGCTCTTGTTGCTCCGTAAGAAGGGATCTTCAGAGGATGAATCAGGCCTTCATGGTAAAATAGCTGTTAGGAAACTACTGCAAAGGGTTTGCTTGGCCTAAAGAACACAAGGAATGGACATTAGACCAGTGGAAATCTGTGCTTTGGTCTGATGAATCCAAGTTTGAGATCTTTGGTTCCAATTATCGTGTTTTTGTGTGACGCAGATAAGGTGAATGAATGGACTCCACATGCCTTGTTCCCATTGTGAAGCATTAAGGAGGAGGTGTGATGGTGTGGGGATGCTTTGCTGGTGACACATTTGGGGATTTATTAAAAATTGAAGGCATACTGAACCAGCATGGCTACCACAGCATCTTGCAGCGGCATGCTATTCCATCCGGTTTGTGTTTAGTTGGACCATCATTTATTTTTCAAATGGACAATGACCCCAAACACACCTCCAGGCTGTGTAAGGGCTATTTGACCAGGAAGGAGAGTGATAGGGTGCTCCGCAGATGACCTGGCCTCCACAATCACCAGACCTGAACCCAATCGAGATGGTTTGGGGTGAGCTGGACCGCAAAGTGAAGGCTAAAGGGCCAACAAGTGCTAAGCATGTCTGGGAGCTCCTTCAAGACTGTCCTTCAAGACATATTGTCAGTCGTTTCACAATTTTTTGTTAAGCATATAATTCCACATGATTTCATTCATAGTTTTGATGCCTTCAGTGTGAATCTACAATTTTCATAGTAATAAAAAATAAAGAAAACCCTTTGAATGAGAAGGTGTGTCCAAACTCAGCCGGGGCAGGTCAGGGTATATGTATGTTTGTGTATATATTTTTATTTTTTATTTATTGTATTTATATATGTATATATTTGTATTCACACCCACACCTCCAGACACGAACGGTTGGCTTACATAACAGCCTGAAAAATCCAGTATGACAAACTGAGTCTTTCTTGTCACGCTATGTACTTTCGAATTTGAAAACATTGTATTCAGCCTCTTGTGAAAGTATATTTTCACCCTGTTCTGTGTTTTTATCTGCTGGTCTCACACTCTCAACTTTCAGTTATTTCACCTTGATGTGGTAGAATGGAAATCAGCAGTGGCTTTCTATTTTCCAACCACACTCATCATCAGAGTGGTAAAAGTCCTGTTTCAGTGCCAAGTGAAATATGATGAGTCAAATATTTACAAACGGCCAGATTGAGCTCTGGGGCGCTGCGCTGGGCCGGGTGCAGCCCGCCCCGCCTGGCTGTCTCCCTCTCGTATGTTGGGCGGGCTCTCTGCTGGGGGCGCTCAGGCGTTGGGGCCCCGGGTGCCGCTCCTGGCCCGTACTGGGGTGGCCTGGGCCTGGTGGGGGCCGGTAGGCTGCTGCCCCTGGTGCTGGGGGAGGGCTCTGCTCCACGGCCGTATCCCGGGCCTCCTCTGCAGTCCTCTGGGTGGGTGTGTGATGTCCCTGTGGTGGGTTGACTGATCTCTGTGCTCTTGGCAGGGGAGCTGGTGTCCTGGATCTTGTGCTCCCTCTGGGCTCCCGCAGTGGCTCACAATATGCTATCTGTGCCGATTTGTGCATTAATGCCGTCAAGTCTGTTCGATGTACTGCTGCAGGTGTTTTTGCTGTCTGTGTTCTGCCCCCCCCCCCCCCATTCTCTCTCTCTCTCTCTGTTTTCCTTTCTCTCTCCCTAGTCATGTTTGGCATCAAAATGTACATGAGAAACTAACAATAAATTAATCCTAAAGGGTTGGGTTGCAAGAAGGCTTTACAAATATAGGGCCTCCCTTGCTGCCAGGGGTAGCGGCCTACAGGCCCCACCAGGCCCAGGCCCTTGCTGAAAAAGTCAATCTGTCTGGCACAACTATAGCGCTCAGAAATTCATTCGACTTGCCATGATGCTGAATAGGACAAGGGAAAAATAATAATAAAAAATCACAAGCGCAAATGCATTTACGCATATAATTATAAGTCTTTTGTTGCATTAATTTCAAACTTAAAAATGACTTTACATTTTTAAGGAACTTTTCTAGAATCCATAAAGCTAGAAATAACATCTATCATGATATATGTGGTGCTAACTGGGAATTTGTAACTTGTGGAAGTGGATTAGGAGGTGCAATTGGTACAATTGTGGCTGGGTTTTTTTCTTGAGAACAGAGAAAAATTCCTGAAAGATCTTGCTGAATTCACACCTGTTAAAACACTGTTGCAAACTTTGTGAGCTCACCCACTTCTCCTATGTCAGGAGCATTTAGTTTGTCCCGTTCTGTCTTCCTAACCAGCTACACAACAGACATGTGTGGTGTTGTTTCTTTTCAGTACACAGAGCAATTTGTGAACAATCTGCAGACCCAGCTGGAACAGTCAAGGCTGCATGAGGCTGAACTGCTCGGAGCCATGAAAGAAATGCAAGACAAGGTGCTCGACCTGGAGAAGGTGTGCTGCCATGCACACACACATTTCTGTCTGAGGGGACACAGCGTTAACATTGAGCAGAAAGAATATATGTTGACATCGGAAATTTTTGTCCAGCTAGTAACTTAAGTTTTGCATGTGTAACATCAAGCAAAACTGATAGACTTATCAGGCTTTCAGTCCTGATAACGGACATTTATTTGCTAGGACAATATAGTCAAAGTAAAGATGCATATTCCGTCATGTAACTTGCTTAGTTTAGTTCTAATATTCTTGAAATTCCAACTCTGTAACCAGCCTTGCATCTTTAATTAGGGTAATGTTTCTGTGTCTCTTATCTATGATCCGTCATCTGTTGTACTTATCTGTAATGATTAGTGCTATTGCTTCACTTCAAGGAAGTGTTTGGCAGGTAAAGTACCTGCTCACAATTGTTCTTAAACAAACAATATGCTTAAAATCTATTACTGAGACTATTCAGTGAGTACCTTTGCCCATGTGTGGCCTCACTGATTGGAAATTATGTCTGTAGGTCATTGTTTCGTAAATCTGTAAACAAAAATCAGCTGTGATATTTGTCCATTCAGAGGAGCAGTTGCCTGCCAGATGAGGGCAATGTGGCAGCCCTGCAGGAAGAGGTGAAACAGATGAAGCTGAGGGAACTAGAGACACTGCGCTCATTTAGAGAGATGCAGGACAGTGTGAGTGAGCTAAACCAGCGCTGGCAGGTAAAACACAATCTGGTAATTTGTCTTGATCAAGCTCACATTTCACTTAAATCACTTTCCATTGATATTGAGACACACATTTCCCTCTTTGTTCCTGCAGCATCATATGTCCCGTGGCAGCAGCACTGGTAGTGGGGGAGGCCACTGGAAGGAATCCCCCAAAAAGAATGCAATGAACGAGTTGCAGGACAAACTGATGACAATCAGGCTGAGGGAGGCGCAGGCCCAGGCTGAGCTCAGAGAAGTCAAATTTAAAGCCCTGCAGCTTGAGAGCCAGGTCAGACACGCAGTAGCGCATACTTTTCCCTGAAATACAAACTATACCCTCCTCTGACCATTTCTCAATTGATTTTCCTTTACCTTAGAACCAGATCCACACCAAACTGATAACTCGCCACGAGCAGGAGCGTTCTGCTCTACAAGACCGGCTCCAGATGGTGGCCAATCAGAGCAAAGCTCTGCAGGCCCAACTCAACGAAATGAAAAGGAAGCAAACTGAGTCAGACTGCAAGGTGTGGCTAGAGAGAGGATCGAGAAACAGATTGTAAGAGATGAAACTGGAAGAAAGGATGATTCATGACGAGATCATTATTTTCCAGTAGGATAAGATATGGGCATAAAGGAATTTGGCAGAGAAACATTGATAGACTAAGAAACATTATGTAATATATAGAAAAATCTATTTAGTTAGAAATTGCCTGAGTCCAACTATGTATTCTGTCACTCATGTTTTATAACTATGGTGATGCAATTTAAAAGGGTTTAGATAAAAAACATTATATGAATCACAAAAACAGTTTATGATCCCCATTTTCTTATTATTCAAAAATAGAAATCTAAATATGATTTTAGTTCAACTTTTAACTCCAGAGATGTTTTCTTCCCTATTTCCCCTGACCCAATTAAAATTACTACCCAATTTTTCCTTCTGCCATAATAAATGTAGAGTAAAGAGGAAGTGATGGCGGTGCGACTCAGAGAAGCAGACAGTATGGCTGCGATGGCTGAACTCAGGCAGAAGATCGCAGAACTGGAGATACAGGTTTGTATGTCTGTTAACATGTATATTTGAATGTTTTCAAATTTAATTTTGACAAGAGTAAAAACCTTTTCTGGCTTTAGAAAGAAGAAGGGCTTATCCAGGGACAGCTGAACCACTCGGACTCCAAGCAGTACATCAGCCAGCTTCGGGACCAGATTGTTGAGCTGAAAAACGAGGTTCACACATCACATCACTGCACTCATTTCTAGAACAGAAGCATCAGATTTCATTTATACCACTTGTTGCATTCTCACCTTAAGAAATAATTCCAATATCTGTGATCACTGTTGAAAACAATTTAAACAAAGGTAATAGCACGAATGAGCTTTAATAACTGTAATGGGCGTGAAGCTGGACCCAAGTACAGCACAGACTGAGACCAGCGATGAACAGTTCAACAGTTTATTTTCCCAACAAACTGGAGGCAGACAAGGGCAGGCAGGCGGAGGTGTCAGAGGCAGAAGGCTGTTCAGGTTACCGGGGCTGGAACGATGAGGACGAGTCAGGGGCAGGCAGGGTCGAAACCAGTGAGGCAGTCCGGAAGAAAACGCTGGAAAGCTTTGCATGACACTAAAGACAATCTGGCAGAGACAGAGGAAAGAGTGGGTTTAAATCAGGTGAGGGAACACAGGTGAAGGTGGTTGCACTGATGAGGCAGACAATCCGGAAAAGCACTGGCAGAGCTGGCAGTATGGTGGAAACCCAGGACCGGATTGTGACAGTACCCCCCCCCGGCAAGGGACGGCTCCAGACGTCCCAGGCCGAGCCGGGAGGGTGGCGGGGGCCCGAGGAGGGCTAAAACTCCTCAGAGGCAGCAGAGTCCCCATCCTCCGCAGAGGAAGATGAGCAGGAAGAGGCAGCCCCATCGGTGCCCCCCCTCACCAGAGATTCAGAAAGTCCATCAGCAGATGGGCCTGCAGAAGGCGGATGTGAGGCCGGGGCAGGCTGGTCAGGATGCAGACAGTGAAAGTCCGAAATGAGCTGAGGGTCCACAATGAACCGAGCCGGCACCCAGGAACGCTCCTCTGGGCCGTACCCCTCCCAATCCACAAGATACTGCATACCACGTCCACGGCGGCGAGAGCGAAGGAGGCGCCTGACAGCGTACACAGGACCGCCATCAACGAGCTGAGGAGGCGGAGGAGGCGGCATGGGAGGAACCAGAGGACTTTCTGGGACTGGCTTGATCCTGGAGACATGGAACGTCGGGTGGATCCTCATGGACCGGGGCAGCCGAAGACGTACCGCCTCTGGGTTGATGATGCGAGTGATGGGAAAGGGCCCCACAAACCTGGGAGCCAGCTTGCGGTTCTCCACCTTAAGGGGCAGGTCACGGGTGGAGAGCCAGACCCTCTGCCCAACCTGGTAGGCAGGAGCAGGCGTGCGGTGCTTGTTGGCGGCGGCAGCGTAACGGTCGACAGACTTGAGGAGAGCAGTACGTGCCTGGTCCCAGGAACGCCGGCAACGGTGAACGAAGGCTTGTGCCGATGGGCAGGCAGCCTCCCTCTCTTGGTTGGCAAATAGCGGGGGCTGATACCCATATGCGCACTGGAAGGGCGAAAGTCCGGTGGAAGAGCAGGTGAGGGTGTTGTGGGCGTATTCTACCCAGATGAGTTGTGCCGACCAGGAAGCAGGGTTGTGGTTGATCAAGCAGCGAAGAGTGGTTTCCAGGTCTTGGTTCATTCTCTCAGTCTGCCCATTGGACTGGGGGTGAAAGCCAGAAGACAGACTGACGGAGGCGCCAATGAGACTGCAAAACTCCTTCCAGAACATAGATGTGAACTGGGGACCCCGGTCAGAGACAATGTCAGTGGGCAGTCCATGGAGACGAAAAACGTTCTGGAGAACCAGTTCAGCTGTCTCTTTAGCAGATGGAAGCTTGGAGAGGGGAATGAAGTGGACCATCTTACTAAAACGGTCGACAACTGTGAGGATGGCAGTGTGGCCTTTAGATGTAGGTAGGCCAGTTACAAAGTCCAGGGAGATGTGTGACCATGGGCGATGAGGAACAGGCAATGGGTGCAGGAAGCCAGCTGGAGGACGACGAGAGGTCTTGTTCTGGTTGCACACAGGACAGGCGTTGACATAGCCTCGGACATCCTCCTCCAGTGATGACCACCAGAAGCGCTGCTGCAGGAAGTCTCGGGTCCGCTGAATGCCAGGGTGGCAAGTCAGCCGGGAAGCATGCCCCCACTGGAGAACATCGGAGCGGAGGTGAGCCGGGACAAACAAACGGTCAGGGGGACAGGAACTAGGACCAGGCTGGTCCTCAGTGGCAGCCCGCACCCTCTCCTCTATCTCCCAAGTGACAGAGGCAATGAGACAGGAGGCCGGAACGATGGTGGAGTGCTCAATCGTATTATCCGGACACTCAGGAAACTGCCGGGAAAGTGCATCTGGTTTAATGTTCCGAGACCCGGGTCGATAGGACAGTGTAAAGTTGAACCTGTCAAAGAACAGTGACCAGCGGGCCTGTCTGGAATTTAGTCTCTTGGCAGATCGAATATATTCCAGGTTGCGATGATCCGTCCACACAATGAATGGCACCTTGGCTCCCTCCAGCCAGTGGCGCCACTCCTCCAATGCCAGTTTCACCGCCAGAAGCTCCCTGTTACCAATATCATAGTTCCTCTCTGTGGGGGTTAGGCGGCGAGAGAAAAAGGCGCAGGGGTGAATCTTCTGGTCGATGGGGGAGCGCTGAGACAGAACCGCCCCTACCCCCACGCCGGATGCGTCCACCTCCACAATGAACTGGCACTCCGGTTCGGGGATCTGGAGGATGGGAGCAGTGGAGAAGCGAGTCTTGAGGGTGTCGAAGGCGCCTTGTGCTTCGTCAGTCCAGCGGAAGGATGTCTTGGATGAGGTGAGGGCCGGGAGGGGAGAGGCAATGGTGCTGAAACCTCTGATGAAACGGCGGTAAAAATTGGCAAACCCCAGGAAACGCTGCAGTTGCTTGCGTGTCTCTGGGACGGGCCAGGAGGTCACCGCTGAGACCTTAGCTGGATCCATCTGCAAGCTGTCCTTGGCAATGATGTATCCCAGGAAGGAGACTGAGGGTTCATGAAATACACATTTCTCTGCCTTGACATATAGGGAACTGTCCAGGAGGCGGCGGAGGACAGCTCTGACGTGAGTGACATGTTCCTCCTGGTTACGAGAAAAAATCAGGATATCATCCAGGTAAACGAAGACAAACTTGTTCAGCATATCCCGCAGCAGGTCATTGATCAAAGTCTGGAAAACGGCCGGGGCGTTGGTCAAACCAAAGGGCATCACCAGGTATTCATAATGTCCTGTTGGTGTGTTGAAGGCCGTCTTCCACTCATCTCCCTCCCGGATGCGAACCAGATGATAAGCATTCCTCAAGTCGAGCTTGGAGAACACTGTTGCCCCCTGGAGCAGTTCAAAGGCTGTGGAGAGGAGTGGGAGGGGGTAGCGGTTCTTAACTGTAATATTGTTAAGACCACGATAGTCTATACAGGGCCGAAGAGACTTGTCCTTCTTATCCACAAAGAAAAACCCTGCACCAGCTGGTGAAGAGGAAGGACGGATGATCCCCGCCGCTAAGGAGTCTTGTATGTACTCCTCCATGGCCTTTCTCTCCGGGGCAGAGAGAGAGTACAAGCGTCCCTTGGGAGGTGAAGTGCCCGGGAGTAGGTCTATGGCACAGTCATAGGAGCGGTGAGGTGGCAGGGAGGTGGCCTTAGCCTTGTTGAACACCTCTTTCAGGTCATGATAAACTGCTGGAACTCCTGTGATATCAGAAGCTGGAGCAGGAACAGAAGAACCAGGTAACACCGAAGGTGTCCTGAGGCAGGTCCGCTGGCAGGTCTCTCCCCACTCCCTGATGGAACAAGTAGTCCAATCAATGTTGGGGTTGTGTCTGCGAAGCCAGGGATACCCCAGGATGACAGGCTGGTTTGGGGTAGACAGGAGCAGGAACTGGATGGTCTCACTGTGGCCCCCTGGCAGTAGCATGCGCACAGGGTTGGTTTGAGATGTAACCCTCCCCAGCACATGTCCATCCAGGGCGCTGGCAGAGATGGGCAATGATAGTCTCTCAGGGCGGAGTCCAAGCCGGAGAGCGAGAGCCTGGTCCATAATGCTCTCGTCGGCCCCTGAATCGACGAGGATGGCGATGGAGTGGGAGCCAGAAGGCAGCAGGAATTCACCGGTAAGGCGAGGTCTCTTAGGGGAGGCCGGACGAACGATGGAGCTCACCAGTATGCCTCCGTTCACTGGCGAGCCCTGGCTTTTACTGGACACTGGACACTGGCTGACAAAGTGTCCTGGCTGGCCGCAGTACATACAGAGATTCTGTTTCTGCCTTCGCTCCCTCTCGTCAGGTGAGAGGCGGGTGCGACCCAGCTGCATGGGCTCAGGATCTTCCACCCTTACAGGAGCGGTTGAGGCAAACGTAGAGAAGGCAGGAGTTACTGGAGACTTGGAGTGAGGGAAACTGTGTGGCCGGGCAGGACGTGACTGGAACTCTGAGCGTCTCTCCCTCCTGCGAGCCTGGATGCGCAGGTCGAGACGGGTGGCGAGCTCAATTAGCTCCTCCAGTGTAGCGGGCAGTTCATAAGCTACAAGTTCATCTTTAATGTACCCAGCCAGCCCCCGCATAAAGACATCACGGAGAGCGGCCGGGTTCCAGTCACACATAGGGGCCTTGGTGCGAAAGTCTATGGCATAGTCTGTGACAGAGCGGCTTCCCTGGACCAGATCCAGCAACTCTCGTCCAGCTTCAGCCCCCAGAGGTCCGGTACCAAAGACCCTCCTGAGCTCATTGGCAAAGGACAGGAAAGAGTGGCAGGCTCTGGTCCCCCTCTGCCACTCTGCTGTGCCCCAAAGACGTGCCCGCCCAGTGAGGTGGTTAATGGTATAAGCCACCCTGGCCTCCTCGGAGGAAAAGGTGAGCGGCTGCAGGGAAAAGATGATGGAGCAGTTGCAGAGAAAGGCGTTACAGGTGACAGGATCGCCATCATAACGCTCCGGTGCTCCCACTTGAGGCTCACGGGGCGAAGGGAGAGGAGCACCAACTCCTGACGAGACAGGTGGAGGAGCAGCAGGACTTGCCGAAGCCAGTGGTGAAGAACTGGCCCCCAGCGAGGCAGGTGATTGCTCCAGAACTTGGGTGCGGGCGTGGATGTTCTCCAGTTCCTGTCGTACTTGTGCCAGGCCCTGCTGATTCTCTGCCCTGGCGGCCGTTGACGCAGCAACCAGCTGATTTAACATAACCTCCATCCGAGATATCCGGTCGTCAATCTGGGCTGGGTCCATTCTTGGCCAGATTGTACTGTAATGGGCGTGAAGCTGGACCCAAGTACAGCACAGACTGAGACCAGCGATGAACAGTTCAACAGTTTATTTTCCCAACAAACTGGAGGCAGACAAGGGCAGGCAGGCGGAGGTGTCAGAGGCAGAAGGCTGTTCAGGTTACCGGGGCTGGAACGATGAGGACGAGTCAGGGGCAGGCAGGGTCGAAACCAGTGAGGCAGTCTGGAAGAAAACGCTGGAAAGCTTTGCATGACACTAAAGACAATCTGGCAGAGACTGAGAGGAAAGAGTGGGTTTAAATCAGGTGAGGGAACACAGGTGAAGGTGGTTGCAATGATGAGGCAGACAATCCGGAAAAGTACTGGCAGAGCTGGCAGTATGGTGGAAACCCAGGACCGGATTGTGACAAATAACCATGTCTATCCATCCATCCATTATCAATACCGCTTATTCCCTCATGGGGTCGCGGGGGGAACTGGAGCCTATCCCAGTGGTCAACGGGCGAGAGGCAGGGTAAACCCTGGACAGTTAACCATGTCTACTGATGATTAAATGTCTGTTTTTTGAGAATAGAACCTATGTGCCATATATGTGCATGCAGTTGGCCTGCAGCTTTACTAATCAGCACATTTATTCAAAGGAGTTTCTTGTAACGAGGACTGTTGCTCCTCCCTGGTAGCTGTTTCCCTCATTTAGATCGCTGTGAACTGCAATTTTAAAAGATTGTTTGTTAAAACATTAAATGTATAAGAGTCTTGATATTTTGGGGGCTGTCAGAGGCGAAGTTTTCCTTCTACAAAGGTTTGAAAACAGATCTTACCTTTTACGTGTTGTAGAATAATAACAAATATAGATAACTTATTTTAAACACAAATTTTCTAGTCAGCAAACTGTGCGTGTGTGTGTTCATTCAGAGAGTGACAATGCGTGACAAGAAAGGAGTGTTTTGAAAACATTTAGGTGAGGGGGAGTGATGACAGCTCTGCTCTTTACCGCCACTCACCCCTCTTTTCTTCTCCTCCCCTGACTTTTGTCATCAAAGCCTTGGTTTTATAAATGAGACTGAAACTTGCATGAGT